AACATTTACCGGCCTGAATGTCCTCCTCCGACAGGAATCGAACCTGTATCCTATACAGAACTGTCATATAGCCTGACGTGCCTTTACCGATTGAGCCGGTAAATGTTGTTTAATACTGTTTATTATAAACAGAGCATTTACTTAAATATTTGTATCTATAAAAAGAATGTATAAACATAAAAAAAATATCTTAAAATAATTGTCAAACTTTGTCCATTTCATAATGTGTGACGTCACTTGTTTACATTTGGATACGCATCGAGCACATATGAATGTATGAGAGAAAATTATGGAGAATTGTGGTTTAAAAACAGTAAAATCGACCTTGCTAACCAAAACGCTCCTCTGTGATTCAATCGATAAAAGGACGTGAGGCTATATGACGGTTCCGTATAGGATACAGGTTCGATTCCTGTCGGAGGACGCATATTTTCTATGAAAATTTCTCGGACATTCAGGCCGGTAAATGTTATTAATACTGTTTATTACAAACAGAGCATTTACTTAAATATTTGTATCTATAAAAAAAAAACGTATAAACATAAAAATGTCTTTATATATATATATATATATATATATATATTAATGTATCCAGTACGAAACTTTTAACCTTCGATCAGTATGGCAGATGCTAACTTCCAGGAGAGTGATTCATTGCACCATCTCGAACAAACGTTTTCCGCTGACAAGAAGTGGAAAGATATATTGAGTCAACTGCTATGTCTATACCTAAGAAGGTTGGTTCTCGGCGCTAGACAATCTTACCCGCCAGAATCTATTTTACACATTTATACGTCTACCATTCATCCATGCATTGAATATTGATGGCACATCTGGTTTGCCTGTATTTAGAAATTCTAGATAAAATACAAAGAAGAATATGCAGTGTTATTGGTCCTGACCTGGCATCTCGGCTTCAATCCTTTTTTCCACTGCCGTGGGTTCCTTATGTCTTTTCTATAAATATTTTCATGGTAACTGTTCCTGTTTTGGCACATAGACTCTGTGAATTTACGAGCAGTACTAGATTGGCGGCAAGGTCGCCTCATTTTACAGTTGAAATGGCTAAATATAACCCTAAGTCCTATGTTCTCGCACTTCTCGCTTGTGGAAATCACTTCCAGCTTTTTGCTTCCCTGTCAACTTTGATCTTCAAAAATTTAAATGCAACGTCAATCGTTATCTCCTGTCTTCTTAATTCCTGTTCTGTTATTGTCCCCTCTCCTTAATATTTTTCTCATATTCTCTAACATTCAATAATCCCTTAGTGGCTTTATTGCTTGCTTGGGGTGTAATGATAGATAGATAGATAGATAGATAGATAGATAGATAGATAGATAGATAGATAAGCAAAATTCTGTCGTCAGTTAGCAACAGCCAGCTTTACAGTTTGGAGTTATCAATGAAGTAGACCTGTTCAGTTTATCGCAGTTATGATAATAACCTGGATTTGTGGTTTGGGAGATTAAAATTACGGTGGTTTTTAATCTTCTTCTTCTTCTTCTTCTTCTTCTGCTCCTCCTCCTCCTTCTTCTTCTTCTGCCAGTTCATGAAATAAGAAGAGGAAAAAGAAAACGTATTTATACAAACATAAAAAGAAACACTGAGAAGAAAAACGTTATGCGTTCAAGTTAACTTTGAGAACTTTCTAGAATATTTTAAAGTCACTAGACGTTATGAAAAGCGAAGAAAACTATGGATGGCGCTAAGTGATGTAATTTTGATATGTTGTTAAACTAAATTGTATTAATTTTCATGTTATTGTTAATTTCTTTTTATGGTCGCACATACATACCTATATTATAACTTAAAAATTTATTTTAAGTGGATACTCATATTTAAGTAGACGCTCTGTTTATTTTTAAACAGTATATTATTTCTATATTTCTTCTACCGGCTTTTCGCGGAATCTTATTTAAAAAAAAGAAAAAATGCACCTGACGGGCGAAATTTTTTTTATTATATTGACCACGTGTAGAGGTATTTCCTTTGTTTCCTGTTTAGGATTGGGTTTCCGGTTCCTTCTAAAGTCTTCTCAGTCTCTTTCACTCCCAGTAGCTCCCTTGTGTCTTAGTGGCATTATCACCTTGCATGAAGTGATTTGATTTAAAAAAAAAAAAGTACTACATGACGATAAATAAGCTGAAAAACCGGCTCTGGCAAGGTCTTTAGTATTCTACACAATCGATCATTTTTTTTTTATGGAAGCCAATATATCTTCCGCAGATTTTTAATTCTTGGTTTGTTAAGTTTTTGACACTCACATTTGTAATTAAAGTAGAATTCCGCATATCCGGAATCCCGCATATCCGGACATGATTTTGACGTGTATATTTGAACTATTTGGGTGATATGTAACTGATTTGAAATTTCTGTTTTTCAGGAAATTTACTTTGAATAATTGCTTATGCTAATTTCACCCTAATGGCTTGTATTGGTGCAAAAGATGATGGGAATAAGAGAAAAGGATGACAACGAGACACATCTGCAACAAGATAGCAATGAAATACGTGACTGTGATGAAACCTGGATTTAAATTGAAAAAGCTATTGAAAAGATTGTCAGTTTTATGGAAAGAAAGCCAGCAATTGACGATTGTAATAACGCACGCAGAGTTAAAAAAAAATGTCTTTGGTTTCAAAAATTTTAAGAACAAAAGCAAAACGAAATGCGGAAAAAGTTGAGAATGACATTAGAAGAGAAAGCATCATCATGCAACAGCGATTAAAAAATCCTCGTTACATTATTTGTTTTGCATACGTGGCATACTTAATTTAATGAATTTTCATTAACATTACATAATTAATATTACATAATTTATTTCTTTTTCCTTAAAATCAATTCCATTATATTTCACTCACCATTAGCTTATTTTGTTTACTATAAAACCCTGAAAATAAATGTTAAACCTGATTTCAGTTCTTTTATTTTAATCTAAATATAACCCCTCATATCCGGACTTTTTAACAAATTCCTCATATCCGGAAGACCTTCTTAGTCCTGCTGTCAGGGATTCTACTGTATTTACATTGTTCGGGCTGTTGTCTCCATCTTTATTGTCATATCCACGTCGTTTTGGCCGTTGTACGCTCCGGCCTTCTACAAAGGTGATTGGAATTTCGAACTGAACCCTTTATTTCATGCTTTGTGCTCGGTGGATTGCAGAATTATCTTGTAGGAAATGTAATAGGCACGGGAGAAAAATGGATAGCGGCTCGGATTGAGGAATTGGAGAGCCGTGTTTGAATTCCATTCGAATCCATTACATTCACTCAAGTGCTAATATCCCTGGGAAAGGTATGAATCCTCTTCTCCCCCCAGCTATGGGTAAATATCAGGACAGACCGTGTTCTATAGCTTTGGATGGCAACTGGTCTACCGCAGAAAGAAATGGTAACCTACTGCGGAAAAAAATCTGCCTCGTCAGTCATGTATCGAAAGATACATGATCGCCTAAGCGTGTATCACGCATGGCACATACCTGACTGACAGACCCTTCGGAAAGATATGAATCCCCTTCTCCTCCCCCCAGCTATGGGTAAATAGCAGGATAGACCAGCTTCTATAGACTTGGGTGGCAACTGGTGTAGCGCAGAAAGAAATGGCAATCTACTGCAGAAAAAAATCTGCTTCGTCAGTCATGTATCGAAAGATACATGATCGCCTAAGAGTGTTTTACCCATGGCACATAACTGATTGACTGACCCTTCGGAAATTTATGAATCCTATTCTCCCACAGCTATGAGTAAATAGCAGGACAGACTGTGTAACCTTGTAACCTTGGCTGGCAGCTCGTCTAGGAGAAGAAAAAATTCAAAACCGACCTGAAGCGGGTTGGGCTCCGTCAGGTTATCTTGTCCAAGAAACACCACTTCTAATATAGCTGCTGTACACATGGTGTCTCTATGACGCTAAGGGTCACGGGATAAAGAAAAACATACACGTAAATATAATGCTCTTCATCTTCTTTTGTTCTTTATACGATGTGGGATTTGAAAGGGAAAAGAAGAATAAAAAAAAGGAGTCTAGGGTCATGAACTGTAGCTGCTGTCTCAACAATCTCTCCAGTCCCCTTAGTAGTTAACTCTCTTGCCACTGTTATTAGCTCGCTTACTTTCATATTTTCTACGTCAGGCAATTGCTGAAGGGCAATAGACATACAAGCAGAAAATTCGGTCATCGAGTCTTGTTTGACAATTTTACCGACCTACAAAACCCGATAGTCCTGCTAATTGCCAGATGCTGTTGGCGTATAACATCGACCAATTCACCTTATTCATTTATTTCTGTAAACGATTTTTTCAGCATCAATTCAATTTCTGTAAACGATTTTTTTCAGCATCAATTCAATCATTTCAGGGCCCGTTGGATCATCTTGGCTTATCCCCCCACCCCCGGTATTGAACCAGAACTTGTCCTTCGAAAAATAATGATAAACATTGATTTTTTTTTTTTTACTGCTTATCAACCTTTTTGTGGTTAATAGATAGCGGCTCGGATTGAGGAATCGTAGAGCCAAGTTCGAATTCCAGTCGAATCCATTACATTAACTTACATGCTAATACTCTCGGAAAAGATATGAATCCTCTTCTTCTCTCCCTAGCTATGTGTAAATAGCAGGACAAACCGGGTTCTACAGCCTTGGATCACAACCGGAGAAAAAATGGCAACCTACTGCGGGAAAAAAAATCTGCCTCGTCAGTCAAAAGATACATGATCGCCTAAGCGCGTATCATGCATGGCACATAACTAACTGACTGACTGTGGTGATTTAAAGCCGAAATACATTTTGGGATTGTCAGAATTTTTTGAGATAATTAATGGTTTACTGATACAAGTCATACTATTTAACCCATAGTTGAGAGGAGAAGAGGTGGATCCATACCTTTCCCAAGTGTATGTGCACGTAAGTGCATATAACTAACCCGGTTGGAATTCGAACTCGGCTCTTCGATTTCTCTTTCCGGGCCTCCATCTATTACACCACCCGCACATTCAAGCTTACAGCCCATAGTATTCCCCAGAGGTCACCCATCTGGGTACTAAACAGTTTCAAGGTTGCTTAACTTCGGTGATCGAACGAGAACGGGCGTCTTAACGTGAAATGGCCGTCATCCTAATGGCATTCGGTTCGCTAGGTTGTCAACATTTTATCGATTTTTCTCGGGCGATCATTTCTGCTTATGAAACGTGAAATCTTAAAAGTGAGCAGATATGATAGATGGAGAAAAAGTCGTCGAAAATTGTGTTTATAAACAGTAATTTGGACTTTGCTAACCAGACCCCTTCTCTGTAGCTTAATGGCACAAGTACGTCAGGTCAAATATCAGTTTCCGTATAGGAATACAGGTTCGATTCCTGTCGGAGAACGCATACTTTCTACGAAATTTCTCAAAAATTCAGGCCGGTAAATGTCATTAATTCTGTTTAATTAAAAACAAAACATTTACTTAAATAAATTGTAACTATAAAAGTAACCTAGAAACAGAAAATATATTAAAATAATTATCGGACTTAATCCATTTTATTATATATAATCAACTCTCCCGTCGGTTTTGACGTATGAGGATCTGACAACTTAATCAATTGATTTCAGTTATGAAATTTTGTGCGATAATCTTATGTGGCACTTAAGACCCACTAGTGATTTACAAAGGAGGCCGCATATGGAGCAATAGTGAGGATTGTGAGATGAGATCACTGTTAGATTGGCTGACCTTTTAGATCTCGCTCTTGCTTCTTGAATACGATTTAGACTAGCATATTGAAAACTGGTGAGTCCACTAAACACGTTGATCGCCATTCTACCCGCTCCAAGGCTAAGCGTTCGATGGTGTTATGAGGTATATTGACAGCTGATATATATAATTGGAAATTGAAGTCAACACTTAGCGACGACAGTCTGATTCATGCTTAAAAGCAATCAGATGGTCTGACGGTTGCGTTTAAGCATGAAACAGTCAGTCGCGGCTGAGTGTTAACTTCAGTGTCAACTTATATATTTAATACGCTCTATCCTTGATCCTTGAGCACTTTAACTAATAAATATATCATACCCGAAAACTAAATTTTATCGTATATGTGTGTGTGTGTGTATGTGTGTGTAAAAAGTTCAGATAGAATATACCTGTAAAAGGACAATATGAATAAAGACAAAAGAAAAACCTGTCTTAGTCGATGCGTTTGGACCTCTGAGGAACGTTTTCAAAACGAAACGCTATAAGAGACTTTATCAAGGAATTTGCATTGATAAGGTCCCTCAGATGACACAATGCGTAAGTTTTCCTTTTGTCGTTATTCACACACACACACACACACACACACACACACACACACACACACACATGTAATTTATTGTATTTTATGTATTTGAATGCTATGGATATCAAAGATTTGTGGTTCCAACAGGACGGCGCCACTTGACACACAGTCAATGCAACAATGGCTTTATTGAATGAAAAGTTCCCAGGTCACATCATCCCTCGAAACAGCGAAGTCAATTGGCCACCACGACCGTGCGACTTGATACCTTTAGATTTCTTCCTTTGGGGTCATCTCAAAAGTAAGGTCTATGCCGACAGGTCAACAACAATTCAACAGCTGAAGGATGAGATAATAAGGCATATTGGTGAGATCAAGGAGCAAGTATGCAGAGACGTCATCAAAAATTTTGACCATCGAGTGGAGGTGTGCCAACGAAGCCTTGGCGGACATTAGGGTGATATTATTTTTCACAAATAATTGCCATGACTTAAATAACATGATCCAATAGAGAAATAAATAAATTTTCACCAATAACACTGATTTATCTACTACTGACTTTGATCCATCTTAATGAAACACCTTTTATGTATACATATTTATATGTGAACACTTCCATGTACATTTATTTCTATTTATTTATTTGATTATATATATATATATATATATATATATATATATATATATATATATATGGTGGTACTCGCTTGGAAAAACCTTGGATATTTCGACTTGTAGTAAAACAAACCAATACCCAAGGAAAAATGAGGAATAAAAAAGGAAGAACGAAGAATATAAAACAAAAGCGAAAACAGTCTTCAAGCTCAAAGTCCAAAGAAAAAAAACTCCAAAACGAGTAAAGGCAACTACGTAAAGTGCTCAGTACACGAAGTTGATCAAACCCAAGATAAACCTAAAGAGCCAGGCAAACCTACCTAGGTTTCAGCTAATCCTGACGATCCGTTTAGTTTAAACCTAGGTAGGTTTGCCTGGCTCATTAGGTCTATCTTATATATATATATATATATATATATATATATATATATATATATATATATATAATTTTATTGGAAAATTATAACATAAATATGTTATAAAATCACTACAAAATAGCCATTGTGTTTCAACACTTCTGGTATCTTATCAAGTGATGGTTTTGAATGTAGAAGAAAGGATTTTAAAAGGTTCAAATCGATCAAACACCCCTCGCTAGGGGAAACGCTGTTACATAAACTGCAATGACCAATCAAAATACAAGTATATGAGAATTCAAAAAACTTGACAACGGACCTTGGTTATAATAATTAATTAATGCTTTAATGTTAGGTTAGACTAATATATATATATATATATATATATATATATATATATATATATATATGTAACCTTTCAAGCAGATTTGTTTCTCTGTTTTGGTATTGTGAGTTTAAGGCCGTCATCTTATTTTGGACAAAGCAACAAAAAGAAAAAAAAACAGAAATAATAAACACAATGCCCGTTGCACAATTCTATTTCATTGCTTCCTCTTCCTGCTCGCTTCCACATCTCTCTTTCTCTCTCTCCTCATCCACGTGACTAATTATTAGACCCAGAGATTCCCTCCTCATACCTCCTCTATTCCTCTAAACATGCTCCCATAATGAATTTGACTTTCACTTCTTTAATGAATTTTCCCTCTCGTTGATTTGTGTTAGTTTCATTTTCTTCTTTCACTGGCACCTGTTGCTGGGAAAAAAAGTAAAGTTCACATAACTCAATTTTTCCGCTCTATTTCTAATGTTTCACTCCACAATACATGCACACACACACACACACACACATATATATATATATATATATATATATATATATATATATATATATATATATATATATATATATATATATATATATATATATATATAGGTACCTCTACGAAATGTAAACAGAAAGAGCATAGCATGATGAAAAAAAGACGCCGAACTTGACGAAAACAAAATTTTATCGTCTAATGTTCATATTATTATTAAAGAGGAAAGATCAAAGTATTTTGGGGTATTTTTTTACATTTTTAATCATTCCTAGCACGTCCGAAATTTTCGTTAAAAATCTTGTTTTTTTTTGTCAAAAAAAGAACAGATAATCCATCATTTTCAATCATTTTTCCATTTTATAAAAAAGATGAAAATCTGACTTATTTTAATAGAATCAGAAATTATAATATTTATTTAAAATATTTTGAACGAAGCTTAACTTAGCTTCTGCGCCGAAAAAATGTAATTTGAAAATAAAACAAAGCAGGTCATAACCTTTCGCGTCATTTGACAGGTGACGAAAGACATTTTCATGACGTTTAGATAACTTACGGGAGGATAATTCTTTCTACGGATGGAAGGATGTGAAATTATTTAGATTTAAATGAACAAGTTATTTACCTCGTTACTTTTAATGAAAACTTTCAGCGCTCTAATTTTTTAATTTTTTTGTTTCTTTTATGTTAAATTTGTTTCTTTTAAAAATGTTAAATTTGATTCTTTTAAAAATGTTGAATTTGTTTCTTTTAAAAATTGAATTTGTTTCTATTATAAATGTTGAAATTGTTTCTTTTAAAAATGTTGATTTTTTAAAAAAAATGTTGCATTCATTTTATTCTGAAGGTCTTCATCTTCATCAGCATCAAGTCTACAACTTTTGACTGACAACAAACTTGTCCATTAAAACACATGTAGTACCCTCTCACTATAAAATTTAGTCTGAAATAGTGTCAAAATTCCGAGGTATCCAGTGAGAATCGAACTCGCTAGTTATGACTTGCAATATTAGCTCTCGTTCTACGTCAGGCGCAACTTTATTAGGGTTAATATTGACGCTAAGGAACGAAATCTCGATATTGTGACTTCAAGTCGGTCAATTGAAATAGTCAGTCACCACGTATTCATTCTTCAAAACCGGAAATCAAATGACACAATCACTATATCGGTATGGGTAGAGAGTTTATCAATGTGTAATACTATGAATAATGTAAGGAAAATTCTACTGAACAATGATCAGTGCTACTTAAGTATGTGATCTACGTGGACGATTCTTCTAAAATATGTGATCTACCTTAAAGAAAATTACCTACATGCACAAGAAAAAAAAAAGAGATATACCTGTCCAAGCATTACAATCTCATCTAGATTACATTTGCTGAGAAATGCGATTAAATGACCAAAAATTTATTGCATTTCAGAATGATGTTGAAATTATTTACAGACTGCGATAGTATTAGATAAAATAATATTTTCCTTTATTTTTTTAAAAAGATGTATTATTATTTGTTTAGTATATTATTATAGTATATTAAATAAAGACTATTTCTTCTTTTCTTGTCTTATTCTGTATATAACTATGTTTAATGTACATTTTAATGTAGAGAATTTTCTCAACTTGTAGATCACATACTTTTGTGATTCGTTATCCTGGTAGATTAACTTCGAAAGGTAGACCACATACTAATAGCACCCAAAGATAATTATCTTTAATGATTAAGCTATCTTAATTTCCTGTATTTAAGGACTAAAAGAGGCTCCTGACAGAGGTCCGGAAATATAACACAGCAGCGGTTTTGATTGGACGGAAAATAGAATTTTGTCACTATTTTTTATTAACCAATGGGATTTATTTGTTCGATTCTAGGCGCGCTTAGAAAAGTAAAGACAGTCGCTTTACTTTTAAGATTTGTTTTGTTTTGTTTTTTGCAGAGACTAAATAAACTTTTTAGATTCCTTGTCAACATTTGGGGATCCAGGTCATTCGAACTTAGCGCTGTTTTGGACGTATATCCATAATGTAAACACAGGTAATGCATCACTGTCAGAATAGCAGACCCAC